TCACAATTCGGACGTGTTCTCATCTATATATATATTAAACCAGAGCAGCTGGTTTAGGAACTGCTTTTCCCTCCAAAAATACGTATTAATTGTTGTCTAAGATATGTATTAATTGTCATAATTAAGTTGTCTTTAATTACACTATTTATCTAATTTTAAAATGACTATTCACTTGCTTGCATTTACTTATAATAAATAAAGTCCATTATTGTGAAGGAACTCTTGGTTCAATGCATTGGACATAATAATGACAATCCTCCCTTAAAATTTATCATCAAAAAATTAATTATACAAATTAATTAACAAAGTGATTAAAAACGTTTAATCTACATAAGGCCTCAAGTTGTTCATTTCTTAATCAAATGATCATACTTATTTTCTCGATCAGTCAATTTGTTATTTGAATTCGAACAAATACAAATATATAGGATATTATCAGTTGGCAAAAAAATATATAAAAATTAATATGGATCATGAAGATAATGAGTAAATTGAAAAAATATGTATATGTATTACATATTTTATAACTCATTAGTTATTTATTAGTGCCACAATAATAACTAAATTACTTTACAATATTAAAACTTTAAATTTATCTCTATTATAAGAAATCGTGATTGTGATTCACATTCCTTCAATAGTATAAATAACATTCAATATGTTTGGAAATATTGAATTTGATTTTCAAAATTTTTACAGTTTGATTAATTGAAAATATATATTACTAAAAATAATAAAATGATGAATATTATCTTACAAAAATAAATAAAAAAACATATATTTCAAGTTTATTCTGTTATATATTTTTCTATAACCACAACTGATACGTTATATATGTATTAGCATATGGAAGTCTATATAAATAACTTAATTTTTAAATAAAGTTACTTCAAAATATAATTGTGAAAACCAAAGTAATAAATGAAACAATGTAATATAAATTTTATCTTAGTATGAAATAATAAGTGTATATATTTATTCATGCTTTCATGGAATATAACATTCCACTGCCAATATTCATGGCTTTGAAAAGAATTGTTAAATTCTTTGTGGATAATATAAACAACAAAAAATAATTATTTGCACGAAAAATTAACTACAAAATTAACACAATTATCAATATAGATTAGTTTATGTATAATAGTTTAAATATATATACCATCATATTTTCATAATCATACATACGGTGTGCAAATAATATTGATAAACTATACTTTAAGGTGATTAACTATTTTAATATAAAAAGAGTACCAACGGTTTACCACTTGATAAAAATAACAATGCTTATTATTATTGATATTTCTCAATTATGTAAATTTCGATACAAGAATTTATTAGTTTTGTTTATAACGAATCGCAAACTTACTCAACCAAATTTCATATGTATTTTTTTGTTTTACTTTTTAATAAATTTAAATAAATAAGAACAAAGATATATTCAATATAAAGTTATATTTCTTATACATAATGTAATTTATTTGACTAAAATGAAGATTTTTTTTTAAGAAAATAAAATAAAAAAGTATCATCAACGGGTATGGGGTACTAACATGCATATTCATATGAAGTGTATCGCGAAAATAGTAAATAACCTCTTCACTTCGACAAAATTAGGTTTATTTTAACAATATTAACCATGAATATGAAAATATAAAGAGTAATACTACATAACCAACTTAGTGTACAACTAGGTTGACAACACAAGTGTAAATATTCATAAAACTAAAAAAAAAAAAAACACAAGTGGATGTTTACACTTGTGTTGTCAACTTAGTTGTACACTATGTTGGCAATGTAGCATTTTTCAAATATAAATAGAACAAAATAAAAGAAAGGACAACTTAGAATCGAACATAGCATCAAAAATTGATTGTATTTATGAAAAATATATATATATTTCATTACAAATATTAAAAAAATAGAAATGATAGCATAGAAATTGAGAGAGTTACAAGATTCAGAGAGGCCAACTCATGTCTTTAATTATGAAAGTAAAGAGAAAATTCATATTGATTTGGTCTGATTGAAGGTGTTGTTTGACCCAAAAATACATTTTTTTCTATTTTTAGTCGGTATAATTTATTTTATTTTGTCAAAAATAGATGATTTAGTGTTTGAACATGACATATGAACTTGGTTTCATTTACGTGTACTAAATAGACTAATATTTTGGAATGATGTAGTGAAAGAAAAAAAAAGAATGACGACTGGAAGGTTGAGGGTGTCTCAACCATATGTGATAGAAAGAATGACCATATCATTTTAATTGTAAAGACTGAATAAAACAATATACATTTATTATTCAAAATTATTTAATGGAATGTTTGTAATATATTAGGCCTTTTATAATGGTTTTGGTCCTAAATGATTGAATAGTTTGAGCCCAAAATATATAATATTTTTAATTTATTTTATTTTTAGTTGATATAATTTGTTCATAAATGTTAACTATTATTAAATTATTGTTATTATAACACATGTTATTTTTTCTTAAGATAATGAAAAAAAATATATTTATCGCTACTGAATCCTTGCAATAGATAAAGTTCAATACTATTTACTATAATGCATCAACTAATTGTTTTTACCATATATCATAAATGTTAGTTTTACCAAAATAAATTTTATCTATTATATAGCATAATTTAAATGTCTTTTATTATCATTTTACAAAAATTCTATCAATGTCATTTCTAAAAAGTATATTAAATTACATTCCACATGAATTACGTGAAAAAAATAATAATTCGTTATTGACATGAACATTGAGGTGATCCATCTTGCACGTTATTCTACTCACAATTGGACTTATTTTGCACCTAAATGAAATTGAATTATTTTGCCAATTAAAAAAAGTGAAAGACATGTGGACCTAATTTGAAACTAAACGCATACGGTTAAAATTGAGTCATTTTTTTTTTCTTAGGTATTTAATTTATAACTTTAATTTTAATTGGCTCATATTTGTTCATGTTATTTCAATTATTTTATATAAGCTTACCTATATAATAGTAATAATGTCTTTCGTTAATCACAAATGAAGAAGATTATATTATTATCAAGACATTTTTTTTTTTTTCTTCAATGTGACAAATACTAATTATCATTGACTATCACAAATATTTTTTTAAGTTAAATTTATTTCATTTGAAAATATTTATGGTAAACACATATGGTATTTTATAGAAATTATATGTTGTTGTTTCTATAGTCATGATCTTTGTTGTCTCAAGATTATTATTTATGATGATAATAGTAATAATTAATACAATTCATCCACTAAAATGTTGTATTTAGCTAAACATTTTTAAAATATAATGGATCAATTTTTCATAATAATTTTTATTTCTCTATATATATTTTATGAATAGTTAGTATTTATTTAAATTATAATTCATTCACATAATTTTTAACATCGCGCAACGCGCGGGTGACGTACTAGTAAAATCTAAACACCGGAGTTCCAAAATTACCACCATAATAACTATACCAAACAATTAGGATAACGACGGAAACAAGAACAAGTTACACGTATAATGACATTTATACCAATAAATTCCTCCTTGATTGTTGCATACTAACATGTCACAGCCACTATCAAATTCTTCTGCCAGTTATACAGATATCTAATTTCTAAACCAACACAATCCCAAAAATTTAAAAAAAAAAGAAGGGAAAAAAAAACATTATATATTGCGCTTCGAGCAATGAGTAGCTCGAGAGCTTAAATCAAACTTACAGTAGACTGCAATCATAAGCATGGGTTTTCTACTCTGTGCTATCTAATGACCTTCTTTCCTCTTATTGGACAAACACTAAGACACCTGTGATTTATCATAAAAGGAGAGGAAATCGCAGGTTCCTGGTTCCAAATAATAAATGAATGAACCACCTAAATGTCAAACTCGATGATTTACACAGAAAGCTTACGAACTTTTATTTCATGTGCACCAGAAGCTTTGATATCACCTCTCTTCCCCCGAAAGAATGGCCTGAAGAAAAATAGCGGTTGTGATGGGTACTCGCTTTAAATTTATTCAGGAAATTACAAAACAAGAACACTAATATCATTCAAGAATTCAACCACTTTTTTAAATTTAAATTGTGATCTTTTTAAAATTTTAGTTATAATCTTTTGAGTTATATTGACATGCGATTGCGACATTTGTATTGGAACATATAATATTTGAACAATTATGATAGCCTACATCATTAAAGGCCAACTTATGTTTACAAATTAATCTTATTAACAACTCTACAATATAAATATTTCAATGATCAGAAACGATCAAACAAAATTAAAGCTTTTAGCTCGAACATCTTCCTCAATCACACAGAATAGATTATTATTTGATGGAACAGCAAAGGACGAGGAGACAAGATGTACAAAATACAGTGTCTCACAAACAAATGATTTCATGATGATATCACAGAGAAGGAGATTCTTGCTACTTCACACTATATATTTTAGAAACAAGATTAATACAATAGGAAAAAGTAACCGCTTGGAACATAGGGCAAATTTTCACATGTATAAAAGGATCAAAATACAATATACTAATAAAATTAATGACAATGGGATTAGGGTAAATGCTTTAAGGGTATAAGACGTACCGGATTTTTCATTTTCTCAGACAACAAAAGTTGCAAGCATAGCATGCAAAAACGCCCAATAGAAAATGACACCAAGTCGTAAAGCAGGTTTTCGCATTAATGTCCTATCACAGGACACCCTGACAAACCATAAATTAGAAATAAATACCAAGATGACAATAACAAAATGCATTAAGGTACAATAGTATTGACTCTTAAGTCTATACCACAATCCATCAACCAAGTCTGAGACAGGTCTTGTAAACCGTGGGACAATCTTTGATGTAGTGAGTGACTTGAAGCCGTGTGCTGAAGTTCACAAGGAGCAACATCAAAAGTTGTTAGATAAGATAATTGCACCAGACAGAAACTTACATGGCCACCATTTATAAAAATATGGATAAAAAGCAATTTTACCTTTATCATCATCATCATCATCCTCCAACCTGTCACTACTATGATCCGTATCTATTGCAATAGCAACATGATCATTGTTTGATTTCCGCAGACTTCGGACTTGGGGTACAACAGTTGCGGGTGATGGCCACTTGTTATTCTGGTCAATAGACTATAGGAGTCAATAAAAATGTATGTAAAATCACCAATGCCCATACACACCCCATCTAACCTACTAGAATTTTATCCCTTTCTGACCATCGCAATCATTATTTTCCTAGAACCGAAGCAAAGCCAATTTTTCATGCTGTATATCATCATAAGATAACATATAAATGTGAACTAAAAGCAAACTGGGCATGTCGATGTAGAGCATTTATTTCCTGCAACCAATAGGGAAAAAACTATAATGTTCAATGCAGACCCTATTGGTAACACCAATAATATAAGATTAACACATTTCAGGGGACACAAGATTCCTCAAAACCTATTGAACATGAAACATGATATTCTTAGGCTTAAAACCCTCCTGCTAATTCAACAACTATCATGTTAAGGGAAGACAATTGGCGCAGTCAGATGAACAACAGTTAAAAAGCAGTACCATTTGCTCAGCCTCCATAATTTCTGTATTAGGTTTTGCAGCTTTTGCAGATTCTACTTCATCTTGAAGCATGAGTAGTTCAGATTCCTTTTCACGCAAAGAATTCTTAAGATGCTGTTCCTTTTGTGCTAATTCTTTGACTTTACATTTCTCTTCAACCAACAGCATACCATTGTTCTGGGCTACCACATGAAGGTTCTCCAACTCCGATATCAAAGCCATAATCTTCTTTTCCAATATGTCTTTATATTCATCAATTGGGAGATTCTTCAGGTCATCCGAAGCTGAATTATGCCCCTGTACCCTAGAGAGCAAAGCATCTAGCCAAGAGAGCAGATCAAGAACTTCACCGGAACTCCTATGCTTACTTAGATGGGTAACAGCTAGTGCATCATTAGTGCATCTGGTAACCTCTTTCCTAAGAAAAGAGATTTCTCCATCTCGCTCTTGCAGTTGAGACTGAAGCTTCTCAACCTCAACCAGGAGACTTTCTGAGAAATAATGAAGTTCATCAAATTTGCTCACTGTGACAGAAAGCTTCTTCAAAGCCTTAGCTCGAGAAGCTTCGAGGTTCTCCAAGTCTTGATTCTTTTGTTGCAAATCTTTTTCCAGTCCCCCAAGCTTTTCTGCCAGATCTTCCATTTCGGTTTCCTGTTCCTCTAAGGCTTGCATCAGAGTCTCAGTTTCTGCAATAAAATAATAAAAGATTAGAGAACAATTTTAAGGGCACTCACTATTCCTTAATGACAATAATGTACGATAACATGGCCAACCTTGCGTTTTAGACTCTAGTGCAGCACTGAGCGAGTTGACTTGCTTCGCCAATTCCACGGTGTTTGTTTCATGATGTTGAAGTTCTTTCAGTCTCTGTTCCAATCCCTCGCATTTTTCTTTCATTACATCCAGTTGCTTCTGGGAATCATTGAGGTGAGCCCTTGCTTCCTGAAGATCATGCAAATAATTTTTTGCCTTAGTTTCAGATTCCTTTATCTGAGTAACAAGCTCCATGACAATTTTCTCCCTCTGGATGTCCTTCTCCTGGAGCTCCTTCTGCAAATCAATTATAGTGCTCTTCATCTCCCTCTGGCCTCCTTCCAACTGCGAAACATGTTCAAGAATTTCATTTTTCGCGCTTTCAGATAAATCTCTTTCCTTGGAAACTTCTGAAAGCTCATGAACAGCTTTTACTAGCTCATCCTGAAGGCTATCATTTCTTTCTTGAACTTCATTCAACTCCGCCAGCAATAATTCAGCTGCTCTTTTTGATTTTCTAGACTCCTGTTCGTGGGTGTCCAATCGAGCACGCAGATCATCCAAGCACTTACTCAATCCATCTAGCTTTTCAATTGGATTTCCAGAATTAACTGTAAGGCCAACATCAAGTTCATTCAAAGCAACCAAAATACTGCCCCACGTAGCCTCTTTCTCCTGCAAATAGCGTTCACTTTCTGCCAGGTGAACCCTCAGGGAAGCATTTTCAGATTCCATTACTTGAACTCTTTCTTGGGCAGTGAACAAGTTCTTGATCTGCTCTTCATACTCAGAAATAGCTTTTTCTGAATGCTTGAATTCAGACTTGAGTCGCTCAACCTCGGCATTTAGCTCTTCAATTATTTGTTTCATGCCATCACGCTGTTGCACCAAGGACTTTCCCTTCCTAACTGCAACATTTAACTTTTCCCTAAAGGTGGTTGACTTCTGTTCCTCCTGATTAAGCAAATCCTGCATGTCTTTCTCTTTTCTTTCCATTTCTTCAATTTTATGCAGTAGGGATTGATTGTCCTCCATATATTTGTCTCTATCCTCCCTCAAGCACATCAATTCACCCATAGAATCTTCCAGCTCTTTTTTCAAGGTCACTACATCCTGCTCGTCAAAGTCACTTGAAGTCTGAGGCAGTTCAATAATACGCACCTCAGATGAAAGAGTCTGATATTTCTCCACAAGCTTCCTCAATGCTTTTTCAAAATACTCAACGCCTTCCCCACTTATAACCAAATCTTCTGGAATAGATTCTTGAAGTGCATTGTTCACCAATTCATGGACCCTCCCAATAGCAGCTTCAGTACGACGGACATCTTCTTCCAACTGAAGCTTCTGTTCTCGTAACACAATTACTTCATTCTGAAGGTTCTCATTTCTCATTTCAAAGTCAGTTGTCTTCTTTGATATATCGTCATTATCATGACTCAGTATCTCCAAGTTCATTGACAGGATTTCTTTCTCCACGCATGACTGCTGGAAGGTCGACACAAGCTCAGATGTTCTTCCTTGTGAATCTTCAACATAAGCAGTTAAGGAACGACACAAAGCCTCCAAGTCATCAGTCCTTCGCTGGAGGGAGTAGCAATGGTTCTGAACCTCAGAAAATGCAGTTCCCATCCATTGAATCTTATACTCAGGCTCCATTGATCGCACTAGAGAAGGAAAATCTATTTTGTCCAGAGTTTCTTCCCACAGCTGCACAAGATTGTTCCTTTGCAGCAAAGACTGTTCAAGCATCTCGTTTTGCTCGGCTAACCCATGAAACTTGTTCTGCAACTCCTCATATCTTATTCTCAAGTCATCGATGGAGAAAGGATTTGTTTGCGTGTCTTCTTTCGAGCCATCAGGACCAACAATTCCAGCATCGGTATATGAACCTCCTTGAACCAAGCTTCTCCGGTCCATGTTACAAAGAGGCGAAGAGGGGTTGCCTCCAATTGATTTCGCTAACCACTCAATCTTCTCAATTATATTTCCGGAATGAAATTGGTCTGGCATCTCTAGATCTTCTAAAATCTCCTCTATTCTCTGGAGGACGGAATCTTTAAGAAGAAATGACTCCCTTAATGCAGTAGCTGAGTTGCGAATGTATGACAGCTCTGATTCCAGAGCTTCCATGCGCTCACCAGCCTCAGAGTAGACTTTAAGTTTTGTCTCAAGTTCATGAAGCCTGGCATCTTTGGACAGTAACTCCTGTGAAGATTTCTCCAGTTCTTTGGACATCTCAGCTAAAGATTGCTTGAGACTATCACGCTGCGAAATCAGACCTTTTCCCTTGGTGACAGCTATACTTAGCTTCTCTCTCAGGGACAATGCTCGCTGCTCAGACATTTCAAGCTCAGCAACTCTCTCTTGTGTTTTACGACTAAGAGCAATCCCACGCTCCTCAGCACTCTTCAAATTCTGCTTCAAAATAAAATTTTCATTTTCATATTGCACAAGAACAACGTGCAAGTGATCTACTTGTCCCTGCAACTCACTCAATTGCATTTCCAGGGATGTGGATATGCTTAAGTTGTGATCAGCTTCTTTACATTTCTGAATAAGCACGTAGATGAGAGACTCCAAGCGTGAACTGGGAGCATCTGCATCTATAATTACGCCCTCCAACCTCACAGATTGCTCTATCTCTTCAACCAACTTCAGCATATATTTAACCCATTTTTTATCCGATTCATCAGCCTCCAACGCTCTACTCGCCAACTCCGAATTGAGAAGTGTATTATCAGACTGAAGCTGCAATCTCTCCGCAGAAAGTTGTTTCAATTCGTCCAAGACAGTACTGAAAGCATCTATATTTAAAAGATCCATCATTTGATTCTCCACCACAGCGCTCTCCAGAATAGTACCACTCACAAGTCCACTAAGCTCACTGTACAGAGTATGCAATGTACGTAAAGCCATATCATTTCTATCCAATATTTCTTGGCATTCCCTGTGAGCATCTTCAAGTTGTCCATGCAAACTTTCAATCACTTTGGTGGCACCATGAACAGAAGTAGCAACCAAGCCGGCAATGTCAAGGTTGCTACCTACACCAGCCGATGAGTTGGCTGAGAAAGCCTTGATGGTAGAATCGACAACAGCAGCTGTCTGAAGAACCTGAGCACAAACAGAATTCCATTTTTCTTCTACAAAAAGTTCCCTACCAGATAGAAGTACTTCTGCTTGGAGAATTTGAGTCTGTTTGGAAATAGAAGCAACCATCTCATCTATATCTCTACATATTCCGTCTAACTGGCTCTGCAGCACACTAACTTTGGCTTGGGATTCATTCAGCGTCTCCCTAAGGTGGCCATTCTCTGACTTCATATCCATTTCTTGTTTCAGCATGACATCCCATAAACTCAAAAGTTCACGCTCTTTTGTAACAACATGAGATATATGCTCCCTCATAGCTTCCTGGAGAACCATGAACTCTATATTTTCCCGCTCCACTTGATCAGTGTGTTCTTGTAGAATATTATACTCGCTACTATCAGCCCCAGCAGTAGCATGTGGTCCCTTCTGCATTACTGTGCATGATTTGATGGCATTCTCAACATCATCAGTCAATTCCTTGAGCAGCATCCTGAGGTTTTCTGTAATCATATTGATCACCGTGTATTGGTCTCCACTTGTCCGGATTTCAAATGATGGAGACCTTTCTGGGTCTTCATCATCTGCCTGATGTTTTGACTCAAAAGCTTGTATCAATTTTGACACTCCTGGTGCAACAACTGTATCACTTGACCTGTTCATGGAATTCAAATGGGAGTGCATGGAATCTATTTCCTTCTCAAGTTTGTGCATTACATTTTCGGCATCTTCCAACTTCCTTTTTAGCGCCATAAATCCGGCAGAACCATCATAAGTATCCGATTTTAGCTGATCTTCAGACTGCCAAAATTTTGGCCGCAATGTGTAAATGCCATTCTGAACACAACGATTTGCAGTTTCATCAGAATCAGATGAGTAGTCTTTCCGCTCAAGTTCTTTAAGTTTCAGCTTGTGAGACTCTAAATTAGCACCTAATGTTCCATTTTCTTCAGTAAGTTGACCAACACGAGATACAACTTCTTTTAGAATATTGTGATCTGCTTTGAGAACTGCTTCTGAAACTTTAACCCCCACCAATTCAAGATACTGCTTTTCATACTCGCTAAAAATACTTTCGTTCTCTTCTTCAAGTCTCATTCTTTCCTCCCTAACAGACATCAGCTTCCCGTTTAAGTTGGAGATCTCCATTTCAAGAGCTAAAATCAAATCTTTGCAGTCCATTGACTCTTTTGACATTCTTTCAATCTGATTGACCATGAGTTCTTTGTCCTCTTCAAGCTTTTTTCTCCCTTCCGATACAACTGTCAAATTCTCATCTAGATTTCTATTTTCAACTTCAAGAGCTTTTACCTTACTCTCATATTTTGCCAGATCTTCCAGTAGCTTACTGTTTTCACTAACCAAAGAATCATTTTGCTCCTCTAGTTGTAGCCGGTCAGCTATTAGCATAGTCTGCAAAGACTCCAATGAAGCTTTTGACTGTGCTAATTCTCGTTTCATACCCTCATTCTCAAGCAAAATAATTTCATTCTTCTCAGAAAATTTAGCTCTCTCTTCAGCCATAACCTGTAGACTCCTTTTTAAGTTTTCATTTTCCACCTGCATGACTTCGGCCAGAATTCTGCAGTCAACTAGCTCCGTAGATAGGGTTGACAGTCCATCCTGTGCAACTTCCAATTGTTTCTGTAACTCATTGATCTTAGCAGAAAATCTTTCAACCTCAGCTTTCGAAGAGAGAAGTTGCTTCAGAAGTTTTTCCCTTTCTGAAACAACCTCCTGGAGCTCATGCTTACACTGCGAAATTTCTTTAGCAAATATATCATTTTCTGCACGGACTTCAGCAAGTGATGAAGTGGCTGCAGATATTTCATTAATCAACATTTGCTGTTCAAATAGCTGTAAATGAAAGGCATCTTTCAAAAAACATGTGACATATAGTTGTTCCTTGAGCCTGTCATACTCATTACAGCCAACAGACTCATGGACCTTTGTCTTGTCCGCATCTCCAGCTTTCTCTAGTGGCAGCTCTCCTGACATTAACAGAAACCTGAATTCATCTTCATCAAGTTTCCGCAAAATCCCTGAAAGCTCGGAAAGTTTGACCACGCTCCCATCTAGCACTGTTGACAAATCCAATTGTTTACTTCCTAGGGAATTTTCAGTCTCACCAACCTTCAACTGACGCAGTCTTTCTGTGTCACTAAGACCAAAGCTTGCACAATTGACTTGAGCAGTTGAACTAGCATGGACATCATCTGATTCGTTGAGAATTACTGGTTTCTCTTCATTAGATGAGCTGGGCATCTTACTTTTGATCAGCTTGTTTGCTGCAACTGAACTTGTAGTCGACACCGTCTCCAAATCTATTATAGGACAAACATCAATTGAGTGCCGATGCCCCTCATATGCTTCCTCGACGACTTTGGCAGCAGAATCAGCTAATGAAGAATCAACTGACGGGATGTTCCCTGAATCAGCTGCCTTACTGTCTCCACTCGTCAGACTGAGATCGTCAGCAGACAAATCACCATCTCCTTCAAGATTTGTCACCGTGCCTCTGTCAATTTGATGTCCAGTGGGACTGCCAACTTCCTGCATTGCCCCTACCCAGAAAATTAATCCAATTTTAAACTCTCAACCCATAAAATAAAGCCAAAAAAAATGGAATAAAGTATATATATAGGATTTGGTTCAAGTGAGACGAATTCCTTAAAATAGGAACATGAGTCCAAATTCTAGCAATTCAAAAGACATGTGCATTCAGGCACTTCTAAATATGCACTGAAATTGTTGGTGAATAATATCAATAAAAATATTTAACTATTTAAACATTAAATTAGCAATTATATACTGCTCATTTAGAAGTTGATCGATGCATATTTACATATTCAATGCATAGTTTTCTGTAACCAACGCACATCCATTACATCTGGATCAATAGATGGCAGGGTTTCAAGAATGGGTCTCATTGGAACCACTCCATATATATAAGAATAAGTTGTCATGTAGATTCAAGAGTAAAAAGCACAAACCTACATCTGTTTCCTGCTCTTCCCCACGTTGACTTCCCAATTCGGATAAAAACTGAGTGCGCAAAGATGTACCCGCATTTTCATCCCTCTCAACTATAATATTTGGATCAGAGGAATCTGCCACATTACTTTTTATATCATGGACCGAAGAAAATGATTCATCTTTCTGCATAGCATCGCCATCATCAGCAT